ATAAAACTCAGCTGATCATCTCATGGAGTACAGTCATTCTTGGACCAGCGTATTTCTGTCTCTGTTGTTAAATAAATATTGCCATAACAATTACATTAAACAGGCAGCTCTAAAAAGAACAACTATTTAGGTTTGTCCTGTAAAACCCACGCTGCGTCTGTAAACTCCTGCTTTACCAGCTGCGCTGAAATCGATGTTTCAGAACTGGTAAACATTTGTTTTTAAGGCACCATCAGAACAAAAGCCACTTGTGTCAGCTGATGGAGCGGCTGCATTTAAGTCGAGACGCCCTCCTCCTGCGACAAATACTTTGATTGGTTGCAAAAACAAAACAAAACAAAAAAACCCACTTGTGTCCCTGTCAGACAGTCCGAGTGTTGCGGCGGCGGCCGACCCTCGGATGTAATGGCCGAAACTGCTCGTCTCAAGCGTGAAAAACATGTCATCCTGATAATGAACGTTGAGGGTTTCACAGCAGGCTTCGGATGAAAGGACAGAATTTGTGGAAAAACGACATGTCTGATTACACTTTTTTTTCTTCTCCGTGTGTCTCTGAATAACAAATGAAGAGGAAGCTGAGTCAGAGTGTGAGTAAAACAAGATGTTTACAATTCCACGAATTAAAACCTTAGTAAATTAGAGGCCTTGCGTTCTTTAAAGGAATACATATTGACTGCCACCTTTCATTCCAGAGTTTTAAGGTGGATTTATTCTCCATCACACGTGCTGAAATTTAGACTCGCTGGTGTGGTTGTGTAAAGAAAATGGTGTCTTTTTGTTCTCGCACTGCCACTCTTGGCAGATTTATTTCTTGCAGAGATATATATTTTACTCAAAAACAAGCAATACTTTAGACCAGGGCTATTCAACTAAATTGCTCTTGGGGCCACAGTTACTGCAGGTCAGCAGCACAGGGGTCAAACATCCAGCAATTAAGGTCATTCTGTAAATAAACCAAGTATTATAAAGATCTGTTACCTTTGAAATAGTTTATTTTGCTGCATTTAATCATGAATACAACATACAGAATCCTATTTAATAATAGTAGTGAGAATAAAACAATATCAAAAACCAAAATAACACATTTAACACATATCGCCAAATTTTTATACAAATTTTATTTTCAGTTTCATGGTTTTATCTTCAAGTGTTTGTAGTTTTAACTGTCTTGAATGTTCATAGAAATGGATTCTAGCCAAGATTCTGATCTGATCAAGATTCTGCGGGCTGCCAGATGAATAGCCCTGCTTTAGACCAAGGATGTTCAACTGAACTGCTCTGGGGGCTGAGTGTGAAGTGGTTGGGATGAGTCACTTCTTCTATGCCTGAGGCCATGGTTCTCGACAGAAACAGGGTAGAATTCCCCCTCTGGGTGTGGGAGTTTCTGCCTTAAGTGGAAAAGTTTAGGTATCTGGGTGTCTTGTTCATGGAGCGGGATATGGATCGACAGATTGSGGCCTCATCTTCAGTAATGAGGGTGTTGCTTCGGTCAGTCGTGGTGAAGAAAGAGCTGAGTCGAAAGGCAAAGCTCTCAATTTACAGGTCTGTCTTCGTTCCAACCCTCACCTGTGGTCATGAGGCGTGGATCATGACAGAAAGAACGAGATCCCAGATACAAGCGGCTGAAATAAGCTTCCTTTGTAAGGTGGCTGGTAGAGCTGGGCGGTATGACCCAAATTTTATATCACGGTATTTTCAACAATTACACCGGTTTCACGGTATTTGATGGTATTTTTTTCCTCACAGCTCAGCTGATAATAAAATGTACAAACTTTGCTTATTGATTTTTTTCTTTTACTGTACTTCTGTATCACCGTTTCCCTCCTCTTGTACGT